TTTGAGTGATATTGACATATTATTGTAATCGATTCAATATTTTGATATAAATATATGTATATCTATTAATTCTTTGCATCTATTTGCAGCGCATTGGTTTACAGGAAAGTTCCAAGCTTGAACGTCCGTTATTTTCTCAAAGCACTTTGACTGAGCCCGAGACAGGTCCAGTGTCAGTTGGCGACCCGCCAACTCGCCTGCAGCCAGCCAATTTGAAGGTATCTTCATAATTTGATTAATTTGATTTATCGTATTGTTTAATGATGGATACCAATACCAGGAGCAGTGGGAATGTGCCGCGTTCGACCAGCCGTTGAGCAGAGGATTTTGTCTGAGCCCGAGACACGTCCAGTGTCAGTTGGCGACCAAAGGATCCGGACAGAGCAAAATCTGAGCAATGCAAAAACGGGGCCAAATGCTCTGAAGGTCTGTGAGCTACATTGAGTTAGGTTCTGTGAGCTACATTCGATGTATGAAATAATCCAATGCTTTGCTCGAAATTTGCTTCAGAAATCCGCGTATTTTTGCTCGATCGCACCCCAATCCGTAATATTAGTAGTAATCTAAGTTGACAGGAAAATTCATACCGATTTAATATTTTGACGTAAATATTTATATATATATATATCTCTCTCTCTCTCTCGACTTATTCTTTGCATCTACTTGCAGTGCATAAGTTTACATGAAAGCCCTAAGTTTATATGAAAGCCCCAAGTTTGAATCCACACTGGGTTGAAAAATTATACTTGCATGAAAGTTAACCTCAAAGTTCGAAACCTTATGAAATGTAGTGAAGCTTCGTCTGAGCAGAGGACTTCGTCTGAGCCCGAGACAAGTCCAGTGTCAGTTGGCGACCCGCCAAGTTGCCTGCAGCCAGCTAAGGGCGGGCACGGCAGCAGGGGTGACAGGACGCTCAAACATCATTCCAAACGAACATTCAGAATCCAGCCCAAATCCATCCAGAATTACGCTAAGCTCGGTCCCTTGTTCGGGAGGTCTGAGGCACCATGCCGATAACATATTCCTGAATATAGTGTGCAAATATACCATACAGATTATAATACTTTAGCATTTTTTTGATTAGCTATTGGAACGTATATTTTCAGTTGGACCCTCCTGCAAGGGCAAGGTAGCAATCTCCCTGGGCTTTCGCTTCGCCTTCCTACCTGGCCGCAAAACTCGTGGACAAACCCACGGTAAAAACCAGGAAGGCAATTAACAAACAGTGCAAACGATCGATAGAAAAAGCTCCCGGAAGATTCCACACCATGAGAATCGAAAATGTTTGCATTACTTTGGGACTTTTGGAAAGCAAAATTGATATCGCGAATATATACCTTGCCTAGCATTATTTCGGCTATTTATGACTTCAAGATTGTGACCCCCGGAAGCCGCTACGCCTCTGCCAGGCCACGCGCAAGTGGCAAAATGGCTGCAGCAGCAGGACTGCTATGGTAAAGAATTGAAAACCGAATTGATTAGGGTATGATTAATTTTGAGAAAAACAAATTCGTGCGTACAAAGAAATTTCTTTCTTTTCATAATGCTTCTGTGCAAGAAGCTGTCTCTAATTTACACACAATATTGTGCGATATCCATGATGCTTGCAAAAAGCACCGTATAGTCTGATAATGCTAATTTGCACGAAGTTGTTTCGCACTTACCAACAATGCCAAGACCTTTTTTTTGAAGCTGCAAAAGGCACTCGAGCAGAAGGTCATTCAGAATATAGAGCAAATGACCGCCGCAGTCACAACAAGCTAGAATGAATAATGCACATATGTGTATATATGTCAAAAGATACAGATCGAAAATAGATCAATGCAATATTGCCAAATAGATGCAAAATCTTTCAAAATATCAAACAGGTTGAAAATTTATCAATACAATATTGCTACACAAATATACTCTATCAAAGCATCAAATACAAATATTAAATTTGCAACGCGTTCACGCATATACCTATTAAAAATAAAGTATTATGATAAGAATTTATTCCCTTACATATATGTTCGAACGTTGCAATGGAAAGCACTAGCGCACGCGTCCAAGAAATGCTTAATGTGTGCGTAGGAACGAAAAGAGAAATCAGGGTCAATCGTTACGAATAAATTCGAAATAAATGAAGGCTCTCTATGGTGGATCATGCGGGATTCGAATCCGCGATCGACAACGTCGAAATGTAACGGAATTATTTAATAATATATGTCCCAAGACAAGAGCAAAACATATAAAATTTGTTATAATCGAAATATTTCAAAATCCAATTATTTAGGCAGAAGACCAAATCGAAACCATAAACCAATTATAAAGAAACCAAATTCAAATCCACATATATATTTATTCGATTTTATCCCAATCCATAATATTAATAATAAATATATAAATCCTTTCAAATGTTTTTTCTTATATAAATTTTGTTTATTTATATTTATTTATATAATTTATCCATTATATAAATATATAAAATACATTTTATTAAATATATCAATATTAAATTTAAAATATTATCATTATCCAAATTTATATATTTAATTAAATGAATATTTAAAATATGTTTAATATCTATATATTTTATGTTAATATATAGTTTTTTTAAAAAACAACCAAAATTATTCAATAAATTTTAAATATTTATTAAATCGAAAAATTATATACGAATCAACAATTATTTTCATAAAATATATAATAATATATTATTTACCAACCAAATTCATAAAATATTTTCATTATAATATAATTTCAATAATATCCATAGTTATCAATCAATATTAAGAAATTTATATATATATATAAATAAATAATATATTTTATGTAAAATTCAATAAATTAAATCATATCAACCACAACATATTATCCTACAAATAAATTAAAATTATACATATAATTTAAAAAATTATTTAAAAACCCCTTCAAATATATTTAAATATATCCTATTCATTCATTCACGACCGGCGGAGCGAATCCGCCCGTGTTGGGCGAGCAATCGACGAAAATCAATCGGCGGTCTCGAAGGACAGCTAGCCCGGGCGGCTCTGGCAGCAATCAAGCGCGAAAAAGTGGCACGAACGGGTTTGGTCGGTTGACCACTGTACGGTGTCAAGTTGTCGATTCGTGTCAGCCAAACAACATAAATGTCTTCATCCATAGCTATCAAGTATGGGACAGAGATGGGTACTCGATCATCATCACACAGAAATCTGCCGCCCCCCGTGCGGAGGACGGAGGCATTAATAGTGACCTACGGTCGATTCATGATCTCGGTACAAGGCAATTACAACGACCTGAAACTCAATCCATATGACCGTCCATCCGGATAAATGCATGAAGCACGGCATCAAGACATGTTGTCGATTCCAGCTAATCAAAGTCTTAGAACGAATGCCAAGTGCTGCTAGAAACCGATCGATTTGCAAGCAAACTATAGTAGCGGAGCCAACTAGCCCTAAACAGTACGGGGGTTGGGAGTACCACATGTAAACAAAATCTTACAATGTGCATCCGACGGGCTTTTCTTCTTTCATAACGATTGGCGAGCAGGTCCAGCCCCAATCCTCTATCGAGGCTTCAAAACGAACCTCCCAGCGAGGTGCCTACAAAACCGTCGTGAAAAGCGGACGATACATAGTGAGCTAAGCCAACCTAAGAATTCAACCCCATCGTGCTGAGCCCCCTTGGCATATGAAGCGAACCAGCCATCAAGCAAGATTCCCAAACAACTTGGGTCAGTGAACCACAATAAGCTAGGACCCCGGTCCAGCAGCCTCATAAGTAATTCCTTCCAAGTGCCAAGCATCTCCCAAGAAAAGATGTTGTCCATATAACAGGCCCAAAGTTCACCGATCAAAGCAATGTTCATGCAACAATCGTTAGTATCATTGCCAAGGTTCATCTCCAACAACAAAGTCCTCATCTTTTAAGAATCCGGGCCACCACTTGTGCCAAAGGAGATCGTTGTATCCTAATTCAATAATATATTTCGTTTTCAAATAGAAATACCCTATAATAAATTCAATTCCCAAACATTCAAAAAAATTAAAATCAATACCTTATTATATATATTATACAAACCAAAATGTACCAATACCCAAATTCCGAAATAAATAATTTCAAAAAGAATAATTTCAATAATAATACCCTATAACGACACCAACATCCAAATTCCAATACACACACAACCACACTTCTTATCCATCGAAAAAATAAATCCCAAAAAAAATCGAACCATAATATCACCGAATCATCTAATAATAAATTTAAACAATATAAGTGTTATTAAAACCTCCAAATTTTAAAATCAAAATCCAAAATTCTAAATCTTAAATAATGTTCGAAAAAGAAAAATATTCCCAAGAAATTATAAATATGTAATCTTTCTTTTTATCCTTATACCGAAGTCCGGCGAACAATTTTAAACAATCATATCATATAATAAATTCTATTTTATATAATAGTAATTATTATTGTTATTGATATGAATAGTATATATAAATGTATATTGTAATATCAAATATATATATATATTGTAATATTTTCATTTACCTGGTATCAAATGAATAGTTGGAATTCAAGTAATTCAATGTATATATGGTATGTGTGGGTTGGTGATTTTCCCAGCCTGTATTGGTATGTTTTGCCAGGTGCCTGCCACAGCAAATCAGCAAATCTGGCAAGAGTGGAAGTCAGTTACATGTTTCCATCATGTTGTAGGGTGGTGTCGGTTGCCTGAGTCATGAAGTAGTGGCAGAAATCATAGGAGGTCCAGTTGTCAAAGCTGAAAAACTTGTCTTGAACCTCTCAAAATTGATTCTGCTCTGCTCAATGTTGTTGAAGATGTTAGATTCCCGAACCTCGCCCAATTGCTGTAAAAGCTCACCAGGTCGCAAGGGTCGCTCAAAGACCTCCAATTTGGATTGAAAATGAAACTTCAAGCGGTTTCTTAGTGGGCCACATTCGGCCACATTGCTTGTACTGCATTAGATGGCAATGCGTGCCTTGGATTGCACCAATAGTGTTTGAGGGAGACGTGCATCCATCCTTAGCTTCATGTCCCCGAGCACAGTCAATAGACTGGACAACACATGCTCAATGCAAGCATGTCATATAAGTCTGGTGCTCATCGAAAGCTAAGCCGTCTGGGCTCCAATCAAGCCGCAGCAGTCGGGGAACCTGAATTCAGAACCAAGCTCATCTGGCTTATTCACCACAGTGACACCACATCACCCTCGTGTGCAGGCCTTCTGGGGCACAACTGCGCGAACACCATTCTCAGCTGCCTCTCGCCACAACACAGAACTTACACTTGGGGTGTGCATTCCATGCCTCAGAAAGCTCCATTCGCTGATAAAGAAGGCTATACCTGTGATTCTGTATAACGCGCACCAGCAGAATTTTGGAAAGCCTGGCCTTGGAGTTTGTGAATCAGCTCCAGATTTTATCTGAGCCACAGTGAAGTGCCAGCAAATGACAATCGCAAGTGCAACCTCACCATTCGTGCCTGGAGCTTGTAAAGGAACGCAGAGTCAAACTCCTGATTCTTCTCTTCAAGTTTGGTCAGAAAGATCTCTAGGAATTCCTGGCAAACGCTGCAAACAAAGTTACGTTACGAGTCACGAGTAACACAGCTCTCACCCTGCAGACTGAGCACCACACATTGCGGCAGCTTGTATTTGATGAGCGAGCACCGCAGCAAGCTGCCATGTCAAGTTTCACAGCGACACCAAAAAAAAATTGCATCGCTTCTGGAGCGTGCGTAAGATGCATCAACTCTAAACAAAGCATGAAGCACCGGCTTTGGGGAAGACACCGCCAGTCGGCCTAAAAACAAAATGCAAATGCATGATATAGCTGTGATTCTCCAGTGGCACAAGCAAGCAAGTCCTTCCACAACGATAAAATGGTGAGGAGCCATTCTTTGACAGAAAATGGTCAATGCTCTCTGACTAAGATGAGGCATCGTTTCAAAGCCGATTTTGAAATAAAACGGCCCTTCAAGCCCGTGACACACTACGCCCGTGCTCTCTGGAGAGAAGCGGAAAACTAGACAGGTCTTTGTCGAAAGCAGATTGACGCATGAAACGAAGCCAAGTCCAACACGAGCCAGCTCCCATTGCACACCGAGTTTGTTGGGAAAGAAATGTATATCTTTGGACTGCTACTGTATACATATCATATATATCCATATATATATATGTATTTGCAGTACTTGTTTGACCTTTTGCAATATGGGTTTGCGCACTTGCGATTGTGATGCGCAGAAGTGTGTTCACTCAAAGAGCTTCCGATGATTGCATTGGCATGTCCTGCAAAACTTCCAAACGGCTGCAATGAACACCAAGGTACCCCGACCAAAAATCTGAGCAACTGCGTAACTCTGCATTTGACGCAAAGAATCAAAGCATCATGTCTTTTGTCTACTGCCGCCAGATCATTGCACACGTCTCGCACTTGTGAAATTGCTAGACTGGTTCTTTTGAGTTGAAAGCTTTGTCTCGATTGTTCTTTTGTTTTTGGCAAAACAATTTCTTTGACACTGGCAGCTCCTTTCAGGCATGATGCACATCTTCTCGACCTCACCAAAAGTGCCCGAACTCAGAACTCTCAAGGTGAAAGAATGCAGTCAAGGATTGTGAAGCACAAGCTCTGCATTGCATTGCGAGTCAGTGAAAATCGTAAGCCTTCTGGGACCGTGGCATTCTCAAGTTCTTGCGTTTCCAATGAGCTCGATGGCGCAAAGTCCCCACCAAAAAACAAAGTATCCGTAGTAATTCCACAAAGTATCCATACATTGAAGAAATCATGGACGTGGCATTTTGTGGAAGTAGAAAAAGGATTTTGAAACAAAAGAAAGCCCAAGAATCGGAGGACCGTGAGGATCGTGAGGACGATGTCCCGAAGCTTCTGATCGTCACCTGTCAATCAATCACTGTTGATCACTGTCTACTTCGGCTAGCGGCCCCGATGAAGCTTCCCTTCAGGCCCTGAGCACCCACTTTCACCCACTTTTCTAAGTGAGCACTCAACATCCGCAGGTTCCCAATCATGAAGCTTCTCAATCAGTTGGGGCACAGCCACAGGCAAAGCCACCATTCATATCCTGATTGTCCTGTGAAAACGACTCTGTAGTTTCATCCACGGGCTTGGAGCTAAAGAACCATGAGAACATGCAGAACATCACATCTGGAAGGTTTTGCTCACCATTTCCTCTTTTGCCACAAACCTCAACGCACAAGTCCGACAAGTCCTGGAGTTTTCCTCATGTTCTTCCGAAACGGGACAAACTTTCATGTGACAAACTTGGGCACTGAGTTTTGCCGATCATCGCCTTTCGCACCACCATGATTTGAGTGTTGTGCTGTTCCGGCCTAGACCTAGATGATGTCCGTTCCCTCTGACTCGTCCACACCATGCTCACCTGTGGCTAGCCATTTGCTCGCCTTGCCGTGATTGTTTGGAGTGTGCGAGAAGTCACTTGGAGTTCCACCGCCTTTGCTGCATGAAGGGACCTTTGTTTCCATGCGTTTGCGTCTGAAGCTGCATGCTATGGCCATTGCAGTAGAAGAGGACCTGCAGCAGCATAGCAGCGCCCTTGTCGTTTCCATTCCTCCCTTGCCATCCCTTGCTGTTTGCATTCGTGGACGCCGTGATAGTGGTGGATCACTCGACTTACTTGGTGAGCACCTGAGAACACCTCCTGACCATTTCGGGAAAAGGTTCCTTGGAGCCTTCACAGCTCTCTTCGTAGGTCTGGCAAAGAGACAAAGAGCGTCTTGGAAGGGCCGAGATTCGTAGACGAAGTGGATGGAGTTCGCTGCACCAGTTCGTATCCGCGCCTTTGAAAGCACAGCATTTTATGCTGAGCTTTCCCTGGAACTCCTATGTTTGCTACAACTACGGACCAACACCGTCTGATAGTCTTTACACCATTCAACAACAATCTGATCAATCTTCAATTCAAGAACAACTGACAACTAGTTTCTTTAAGATGGCGTGCTAGGACATTGTGACGTGACATGTTGCAAACATCCTACATGTTGCTGGCGCGGTCTCAGAAGTTCATGGTCAGCTCTTGTGGGGGTGCTTTCTCCTTCCAGCCTCCCGTGTGAAATTCAAACCAACGAATAACCACAAGGAATTCTAAAAGCAAGAAAGCTGAAATACAGAAACAGCGAAACGGAAACATGGCGCCTGGTTCTGCCTCCTTGCAGAAATCCTCTCTTGCTTTTCTTTCGGTGTTAGGTGTTTGTTGCGTTCTTGACGATTTTTTGTTTTGAAAGGGACTCAGACATGATTTGCAAAGAAATGGGCGGCATGACTTGGCATTCGTCAATGATGGAGCAGGGTCATAGGATGACGTTGTGAGATTACACGTGTTCACCCGCAGCATGCTCCATGGCGTAGTTCTCGGCCCAGCTGAACAAAGCTGCGAAGAGAACTTGAACGGGAGCCTCTCAAAGCGCTTCTCGGAGCGCTGCACTCGCCGGAGCACTTCCACACGAGAACTCGGAGAGGTACTGCAGTGGGTCTACTGTGCTGCAGAGCTGTGTGTGTGCAAGGCCACGTCAAGGCCAATGATGAACAGGCACGAAGCTGGATGGGAGAACATCAGTACACGGGGCGGAGCTCGGAAGGGCACATCTGGCGGGTTAAAACAAGCGAGGAAGGGCCCTTGAAGAAACAGGCCCACAACATGCCAACGAAGAAATCACCGTCACCATAGACCCAGCGTCTTGCTCCAGGCATGCCCTGAGCCTTAGTCACTGCATTCGCGTGTCGCCATCTGCTCAACAATTTATCCGGCGACCAAACACATACTTCCAATCTCTTCCAATCCTTCTGGCCTTCTGGGGGCTCTGGCGGAGAAGCTGCACCAGTCAACCCCCATGAGAACCATGCTGCCTAGCGGGTGTTCTTGTCCTTCTTATCAAACACAAAGCGCAGCATGCGCCTCTGACCAAACAGTACCTCCAAGAACTGTCGATGGAACCTCATCACATCTTACTGACACAAACTGCTAAACTTCCTCACATGCCAAAGGAATCAACCCAGAAACAACAAGGTGAAATGTCCGAATACCATTAGTTGCTTTCTACCAAAATCACACGGTTGAACGTTTGGCTCAAGGGCTGCGGCGGCTGAGTGAGTCAAAAGCGGACCGGGAAGTTGAAACCTCTCTCTCTACAAGTCAAGGCAACACAAGCATTTTATACATTATAAAGGTACATCACATCACATGAATGCTACACTTGTTACTGTACATCTCATTACACTATATCATTGCTAAGTCATGATCAGTAACCATGCAAAATCTGAGACTCCCGCATGGTGAGAGAGCCTGGTTTATCTTGAAAGGATGTGCCTAAGGAAGAGCAGCGCAACCAGAGTGTGGCTGATGTTGTTTCACTTGCAGGTAACGAAACCTGCGTTTGACTGAGGATCCTGCAGAGCTGCGACTCCCACACAACCAGGGAGCCATCACAATCGCCGAAAACAGCAAGGCCTGTTCCGAGTTCTCACAACCAATTCCAGAGCGGATTCGAACAGTATAATGTTCACGACGGCCACTACAGACCTGTTGCCCCCTTCAAAACAACCAAGCTAAGTTCTGCACGTCCAGTATGTCCAGTGGATGGGACCCAAAGAAGGGATGTCGCCTGTGTTCCAGTGGTGTCGCTTTGTTTCACAGCTCTCGAGCCCTCACAGGCCTCCCAACCCCCACCACAGAAGCTGCCAGTGGGTACAGTCCACAGAAGATGCGGCCTCTGAACACACTGGTCCACACTACAGCCAAAAACGCACAATCGAGTACATTCAGGATCTTGCGCAGACCCTTTGACATCATCTGGAGGCCAGGCCTTGCTCACTTGAAGAAAAGCCGTGGGTTGGACACATGAAACTCATGAAATGCGTACTTAAAATGTGTATAATGTGTGTATATATAATGTAACGACCTCTTCAGTAAGCCCCTGGAAAGGGCGCTTATGTTTTTCGCGTCCCTTGTCTTTTCCTTTGCACCTTTGAGCATTCAACGTCCTCAAGACCACAACACACTGGGTCTCCAGGCCCATCCACGGATCTCTTCCGGACAAGCCGTTGCCAGAAACTCTCCACCAGGCAAAACAGCCATACCTTGACATACACGGCCCAAAGAAAACATATTTGAGAGAGAACTTGAGTAAATACTGTCTGTATCTATTTTTGAAGGTCATCTGGCATGAGTATGTTTGGTGAGTATTTATACTTATCGTCTTTCAAGAGAGAATTGCATCTTGAGACTTCATCATGCTTTCATTCATTTGACTCTAGCTCATAGCACGATGCCAATAGTTATATATATATAATGTTATATATATATATACATACTTGGATGTGCACATGGTGCTTTCGATCTGATCTGCGGCAACGAATGTAACGATTGATAGTAGAGGCCAGAACTTCTCCGCTCAAAAAGTGTAAGCCCCTGAAACAAAGTTGTTAGAGACACACGCAGCATCGTACTAAGCATCTGGCCCACAAGCATTTGACGATGAGGATTCCAAAAGTCCTCCCCATATAGTGTCAAATTACTGTTGCTGACAAGTTGTTGTTTGAAGTGGAACTATGTATAAGTTGAGTTCGAATTCCTGCGGCATTGCAAGTGGCTCCGTGGTATCTGCCTCGGGAAAAAACAATTGGCACCAAGGCCAACGTTCATCTTTGTCTACCAAATGGGCTCAGCGGGTGCCTCAGATTGCCTACGAGCCTCACTCACTGTAGCCGACTTCTGGCAATTTGAGGCTCTACCCAATCTACTGAAAGGCATTGGGTTGTTATAACTAACATCACTTAGGCGTCTAAAAGGCCTGCTACGAACAACTTCGGACATCTGCAACACGACACAGGCGGCTAATCTGGATACCCCTTGCCAACCTCCTGTTTGTGCCAGACCACTGTGTGACACCATATGCCACACTTGAGAGGAAAAAGCCCCTGTTAAATGTCACATTTTAATGGCATGCACAGTACAGTACATCTACAGAATTGAATCGATCCCGGCGTGTGTTCGCTTCTCAGCGCGCAACCTGACACTGAAGCAGCGCTGAGCACTTCCAGACCTTGTCAAACAAAGGGTCCATTAGATCATTATTCGGGCGCGCATTAGCCACTCT